TTCAAAAGGAAATTCCTTAACCCAAATCGCTCAAAAAAAAATGAATATGTAGAATGACTCCAAAACTGCAACTTGGGAATTTACTGTACTATACAGTAAATGAGAACAGGATGGGTTTCAACACTGCAAGTGCAAGGTACTGCACCTGGGGAGGAAGAACCAGCAGCATACCTACAGGCTGGGGAACTCCCTTCTTGTCAGTGCAGAGACAGAAAATGATCTCGGAGCCATTATTGATGCCAAAATGAACATGGGCTGACAGTGTAGGGACACGGTCAGGAAGGCCAACTGTACCTTGTCATGCATCCACAGATGCATCTCAAGCAGGTCCAAGGAGGTTATCCTCCCCCTCTATGCGACACTGGTCAGGCCGCATTTGGAGTCATGCATCCAGTTCTGGGCGCCGCACTTCAGGAGGGATGTGGACAACATGGAGAGGGTCCAGAGGAGGACCACTTGCATGATCACGGATCAGAAGGGCAGGCCCTACGAGGAGAGGCTAAGGGACCTGAACCTGTTCAGCCTCCACAAGAGAAGGCTGAGGGGGGGACCTAGTGGCTGTTTACAAACTAGTCAGGGGGGACCAGCAGGCATTGGGAGAGTCCCTGTTCCCCCGAGCACTACCAGGAGTGACTAGAAATAACGGTCACAAGCTGGCAGAGAGTAGATTCAGGCTAGATATCAGGAGGCACTACTTCACTGTCAGGGCAGCTAGGATCTGGAACCAACTTCCAAGAGAAGTGGTGCTGGCTCCTACCCTGGGGGTCTTTAAGAGGAGGCTAGATGAACACCTTGCTGGGGTCGTTTGACCCCAGTACTCTTTCCTGCCATGGCAGGGGGTCGGACTTGATGATCTGCTCAGGTCCCTTCTGACCCTACCAACTATGAAACTTTACCCTCAGCCCTCCATTTTGGCCTTTGTTGGCTTAATTTTAAAGTCCTCAATAAGAGGAGTCAAATTGGGACGGTGGTGGCAATGCAAATGTGCACTCTTATATCAAATACTGCTCACAGAAGACTAAACACATGTTCCATATATGATCATAAATGCTCTCTTGGCTCCTTGGGTTTAGCTTCCTCACAGCTGGGTGCAGATATGCACATGAACTTCAGCAGGCTCCTTGGAGGCATCTTCAGCTTGGCTCCTAAGAGCTTTTTTCTTGGACTAAGTAAATCTGAAAGTCTAAAATTGCTGATATTCTGGTTAACAGTAATCAGGGATCCACGTTTTCCATTTCCCATGGAAAAATGGGAAAAAAATATAGATTTTGCCCTTGAAATGAAAAATCTGCGGTTTTCTCAGTTAAAAAGAGAAACATGTAGATTTTCTACTTTTGCAAAAAGCTCTCTGCAGGCTGGCCGAGTTCTATCCTGCAAGGGCCTAGGGCAGGGGCGGGCAATTACTTTGGGCGGAGGGCTGCTTACTGAATTTTGGCAAGCCATCGAGGGCTGCATGGCAGGAAACCAGGGGCAGCTAAAAATTAAATCAAATGCCAGTATTTATAAATACTTAGAATTTGTTTTATTATAGTGATTAAGGCACTGGTAGGCTTCCAAACTGCTTTAATTGTAAATAGATAAATGAAACATTGTGTTCAACTGATACACACACATGTATGCATGTATGTACGTATGCATGTAAGCATGTAGTACACATACATATATATGCATGTAAGCATGTAGTACACCTACATATGTATGCGTGTATGTGCGTATGATGTCTAGTTTCCACACACACCAATTGCCTGTCAAGAATGACCGGGGGGGGAGGGGGGCGGAGAACAGAGCCTCCAGGGAGCGGAGGGGCAGGGCCCCTCTCCTCCATCCCTGCAGGTGGCAGGGATGGGGGGGCCTGTGGCCAGTGGTGCTGGCCTTGCACCCCCATCCCTTCTGTCCACTCCGTCTTCACGTCCTGCAGCGGGGGCAGGGCCAGCACTGCTGGCCTTGCCCCCCCACTCCATCCACTCCATGGCCACTGCCTCCAGGGAGCAGGGGTGTACACACACACACACACACACACACACACACACACACACACACACACACACACACTTCTATAAATCCTTTTCAGCATCTCCCTCAAAAAATGCATAACATACTAAAGAGGTCTCTCTCAGTTCTCCCTTGGTGCCACAAGATGCTTTTTTTATTATTGAGAGAAGAAAATTTTCAATCTACTATATTACTTATACTGTGCTAGAAAAAAAGGAAACTAGACATCATCATCATCATGATGTGGGCAGAAACATACAACTAAAGCAGAAGCTCTAATACTATTACTAACTTATGAGAGATACTACCAACAAACAACAGGTGGTAAAAGCCCCAGAAGAAGTCATGTTACCACCTACTTTTCACAAGCTGCATCTACACGCGCAACAGGCTGCTCAGTTGTTACTGCACAGTCATTTAGTACTTGCTTAACCAAATACTAAATGACTGCACAATAACTGCATTACTGCACAGTACCGTCACTGCACAGTTTTTTTTAGATGCTACTGCTCAGTAGTGTCACCATCACAATTCATCCCTGGCAATGCTATAGCGCCATAATAACAAGCTACAGCACAGTAACTGCTCATTACTACTGCACTGTAGCATCTCATGTAGATGCGTCCACAGGCAACACTGATGAGTAGCTGTAAAGCCACCAGTAGACAAAGGACTCTGTATCAGTGCTCACCACAGAAACTGCCTGGCAAGACGATACAAAATGATGATGGGGGTCTCACTGTTGCTACAAGAAAAATTAGAATGACGGAGGAAAAGTTGCCTCACAGGAGATGATAACAAAAGCAAACATTTTCTTCAATGTTTTTGTGGTATTATCTCATTTTTTCTACATTTATTTAATAGGATAGCAGGTAGAGGATCCTTGTCCAAAGAATGACTTTGTTTTTCGTACTCCTCCCATTACCGGTAAAGACAATAAATGACACTAGGTTAGAAAAGGTGAAAACACTGAAAGCCCAATGCCAATCAAATCTCTTTTTTGCTTTCATTTTCCTTGAGCATGGTGGAATCAAAGGCTCAGAAAGCTGCATTTTATTTTTAGGTCATCATTTAGATCTGCATATAGAGAACATAACAAGAAATGTTACCCATTTATTAGACTAAACTAATTATGTACTTATTTAGCTTTAACTCATGAAATAGAACTGGAAGTAACATTCTGTGTTTCTCAGCAACTGAATCACACAAACAGGTCTATATTACATCCATTCCTTGCTTATTCAACTAAGCTGTTTTGAAAGGCCATCGTTAATGTGGGGCTGATAACCTAAGCCTGCTAAATGACAAATTGTTGTAAAAGGAGAAAGCTCCTCAGATCTACCATGTTCTCTGTATAGATATTCTTTGATCACTACCTTTGATTAAATGAAAAAAAAACAATCTTCATAGAGTGAATTACAACTACATCCTAGGTAAGTTTCATTTTGTAGTCTAATAATGCTTTAAGTGTTTTTAAACAGTGTCAAATCCTTGTCACAAGAACACCTCAGACCATATTTGATCCCCAAGGACTAATGACAAACTGTTTGCATTACTGGTAAAAATAATATAAAATATTATAAGGATCAAGGAAAAAGAATGACAATTTTGTTGCATATTTAGCATAAGTTTATATGTGGTTTAGTGACTATGTCAAATATACAGGAAAATAAGGCGATAAAGAATTTACTCTCTACTCAAAAGTTCCTGGCACTTTTACTTGCCCAAAGTTATCCTATATTGATCTTTACTTTTAAAAGACCATAAAGGGGTATTTTAATAAAGCATGTTCATATATTGCAAAGTGCTTTATAATGTGCTTCCTTCTTAGAGTTTAGCAGATGGACAGGCAAACACACTAGCCATTACGTGCTCAGTAATGGCTCATAGTCAGCCTAGCATATTAGAATTTACTTCAATATGACAGAAAATGCTGCCCAGAACACTAAACTTACTCTTTAGATTTTCCAGAAACATCAGCAGAACAGGCACCAAACATCTCAATATAATGACCATAAACACCTCAAAAGCCTTGCCTACATTACTGATGTACTGATTGCGATTGCTGACAATTTCAGAAATCTGAGCGCTGTACTGAAAAGTAAATATATATATATATATACCTAATCCAGTAGGCTTATATATTATACCCATATTTTGTATATAGACATGGACCTGAAGTAAGTTTTGGGCATATCCTAGAATAGCAGTTCCCAGCCCCAGGTCACAACCCAAATGAGGGTCGCAGGGGCAATGCCAGCAGCGCTGCGTACAAAGGACAAGCCGTGCCGCATGCCAGGACCTCCCCTGCTCCGGGGCCACCATCGCCACACTCTTCTCCCAGCAACGGGTTGCAGAAAAAAAAAAAGGTTGGAAACCACTGCCCTAGAACCACGGAGGAAGTTGTGGTCTATATCTTTCAACATTAATGGAGATTGTATATAAAACTATAAAGATATTATACTCCTAATCCACATTTAACCCAATTCAGCAAAACGCAATAGGTATTGCAAACTGCAGTCAACTACCCTGAGGTACTGCTACCTATAGTTACACTATCATGGATAGTCATGTCATGGATGAAACCAAGTAAAAAAATTGTCTCAAAACAAAAAGTGATAAATACTAAAACTATATATATGTAGAGAAGGGCCTTACTTCCTCTTTCCTTATCAATCCTCCCTTCATTTTTTTCTCTGTTAATTATAACCTTTTTCAATCTATTAGAAAATACATAATTATACTAAATAGCTTCTTTAATTGATGAATATACACATGTCTACATATAGCTAACAAAAGTGAAGTCATTCCCAAAGAATGGAAAATTTAAACAAATAGATTTTATGAATACACATTTTTAAACACTAAAGCACATGAAATGAAGATATTTTAAAAGTACAAACATAGTCTAGCAAGTTGATTGTTGGTAATACAAAAAGCAATGCAAGGATTTTCTTGGTTTTCATTAACTGAAGTGATGAATTAATTTGATTTGTCATCTCACTTACCCACGCTTGGAGCTATACAACTCCTTCTC